GCCCACACCGAGCCGTACGCGGCGCCCGTGACAGCAACAGCTGCACGCCGCAACAGCAACGGGGTCGCCGTCGCAGCAGCTGCTCAGGTTCTTGCAGCAGAGCTTTGACGAAGACAAACCACTGTGGTCCGTTGGTAGTGAGCGAAGGCGCCTGGTCTCCGACACGGTTGCGCTCTTCAGCCAGATGCTGCACCTCAACTACGCGGAGATGATGGCACAAGAGCAGCGCACGACCCTCGCCCAGCTGTGCCGAATGGTCACGCATGCAGCGATGACATTCTGCCCCATCTGCCTCGTCACTGCCGTGAACGTCAGCACAGAGTGCGGCCACAGATTCTGTCACCAGTGCATTGTTGAATGGGCCCAGGCGAGGCGCACGTGCCCGTCGTGCCGCCGTGTCCTCAACGTGGCCAACCTCACGCCCATCGAGAGCGAAGAAGACGATGGTGGTGCTGGTATTGGTGGCCAAACGAGCAACCACTTCTGGCTGCCGCACGTTGGACACGCTGTCCACACGGCTGTGTTGCACTTTGCAGGCGGTCACCGTGAGGTGCACGAGCTATTCCAGCAAGCGCCTGGCCCCTTGTTTGAGGCACTGAGCGCGGTGATGTCTCACGACAACTTTGATGCAACGCAGAGCCCGCCCATGCTCGTGCTTGCCGTTGACGTGCTGGAGCGTTTTGTGGTCGAACGCGCCATCAACGGCTGCAGCCGCATCGCCATCTTGCACATGGAACACCACCTGCAGCCGTGCGTGAATGCGGTGCAGGAGGTGATGAGCAATGTTGGCGACGGTATCGGTGGTATCTCCCCGGCGCAGGCACGTGATGGCGTGGTTGGCATTGCTGTGCTGCGTACGTGCGTGCGTGTCATTGCGCGAGCCCTGTTGAACCACGACGTGGCCGATTTGGAGGCGCTGACTGACGTGCTTCCGGTGCTGTTTGGAGGAGACGATGATGGTGACGGCTTTGCCAGCGGTGTCAACGACAGCATGAGCGTGATCCAGCGCATGCGCCTGTTCCTGCTGCAGCTGCTGAAGCAAGGCCGCAGCTTTGCCAAATTGCGCACTGTGCTGGTTGCCCTCATGGACTACCTGCCATGGGCAGGCTCACTGCAGTGGCCAGACCTCGACCAGCAGCCGGTGCCGTTCATCCCGTTTTCCGTTGTCGACGCTGCCGAGGAGCGGCGGCAGTGGCGGCGCCTCCGCGCTGCTGCCACCCGTCCAGCACAGGCGGCTGCGTTTGAACTTGGGCCGCGGGCCATGGCCACCCTCATGATCCGCCTGCACATGCGGCAGTGCGACGCGGCCTTCCGCGACGCCGTCGTCGGCCAGCCCGCGCTCACCACGCACGATGCAGCCGCGGAGATTGCTCCGCTGCTCACTGTCCTGCCGTCCGCGGACGTGTGGACGCGCGGTGCCCCTGATGGCTTCACGCCGGCTGAGCAGGAGGCGTTTGTGAGGCGAATGCAGCACACGCGTGTGCTGGTCCTGCGCCTGGCCTGTAACGTGCTTGATGCTTCGCTGGAGGGCCGCCGGGCCGGTTTCCTGGACACGGTTGTGCGCTCGCCCGAGCAGTGCGCACAGATGTTCATCCCTGCCGCTGCAGATGACGACACGCTGGCTACCCTGTCTGCGGTGCAGGACAAGACGCGCTTCTACCGCTGCCCGTGTGGCGAGCCGTACGTCGTGGGCAACTGCGGCCAGTTCAACGGGTCTGGGCGGTGCGCGCGCTGTGGACAAGCCATTGGGCGCGGGGCGCAGAACCAAGGCGCCGTGAACCAGCAAGGGCCCATGCAGCAGCAGCAGCGCGGATACGTGCCACTGCCGATGTTGGCCTTCCAGCGGGGAGCGCAGCCAACGCGCGGGCTTCCCCCACGTGCCGCTGCCGTGCTGGACCTGCTGGTGCATGCTGGGCTGCTGGCTGCTGCGGCGCAGGGCAAGGTGGATGCTGTGCGCGAGTTGGTGGGTACGAAACTGCCACACATCCCGGAGAACAGCAACACCGCGGACGTGTGCTATGCGCTGCTGCGCCGCCTGGTGTCCGTGTACGAGCGACTGGAGACGACGGTGGCGGCGGACACGCGTGCGGTGAGCGGGCTGGTGCACGCCACGCTGAACCAAGTCATGGACGACGCGACGGCGCTGCTCTCTGCACCCATGGCCATTCATCACCAGCGCCAGACGTTTGAGGGCGCCTTTGCCGCGCGCGTTGAGGCCGTGATGGGTGAAGAACCGCAGCAGCGCGGCGCCGAGTTTGTGGACGCGTTGGACCGACACCGAGAAGCAGCGAGCAACGTCCTCACACGCCAAATCCTGGAGCACAGGGGTGCTGACGCTGGTGCTGGTGCTGGTGCTGGTGCTGGTGCTGGTGGTACTGAGGATGCAAGCGGTGGTGGCGCCGATGGTGGTGCCGATGGCAACGATGAGAATGATGATGAGAACGATGACGATGAGGCTGAAGCGCATGATGATGGGGACGGCAACGATGGCGGTGTGTCGCAGGGCGCGTTTGCGTCGTGCTGGCGATTGGCGAACCATCCCGATGCGCGTGCGCTGATGCAGGCGTACTTCAACAACACGACAGCGCAGCAGCAGCACCCGCTCATTCACACCTGTACGCAGCAGCTGCACGTGCTGCCGCTGTGTTCTGCGATTGTGCCGCTGGTGGCGTGGTACACGCGCGTTCGCCTGCACTTCCAAGGCAAATTGGCGCGCGACAAGGTGCAGGGCGAGGGCGCCATGACCCACGCGCAAGCAGTTGCAGAGATGCAGGCCGCTGGCGTGGAGGATGCGCAGAGCCGCTTTGACGCGTTTATGGCGGCGTGGAACCGGATCGTTGCGCACCAGGCGCTGTTGTTTGAGGGCGAGACGATGACAGAGGACGGGTCTGTTGTGCGGGACGACGAGGCGCCCCACGGTCGGTTCGAATGCGAGCCACTGCAGCCCTTCCCGCCCATGTCGCCTGCAGCGCCACTGGCGTATTCGCTGCTCTCTGACCGGGGAGAGGGGTCCCGCCTCTACATCATGCTGCACCAGCTCACGCACGTGCAGAACCAGCACATGGACCGGGTGGTGAACCTGTGCGAGCCCGGTACTGCGGCGCACCGCGCTGTGCAGCAAGGGCCTGCTGGCCAGGTGCTGGTGCAGAGCGTGGACGTGACCAAGGCGAGGCCGCACCAGGTTGTCTCTGTGGTTGTGGACGACGGTGTGGTTGCGCACGCGTACGCGCACACGGCGCTGGGCCACGGACGGCGCACGATTGTCAACTGGCAGGCCGTGGAGGACATGGTGCTGCAGCACACGTTTGTCGGCAAGGTGAAGTTTGAGCGTGTTGACCCGGCCAAGTGCGGGTTCCTGTTTGGGCAGGAGCAAGGCGTGCCCTTCCTTGAGCTGTGCGACCGGCTGTTCACGGCGCACAAGCAGTACTGCCGCGCCATCACCCCCGAGCGGGTGCGGGCCATGATTGAGTCGTCCAACTTCCAGCCGTCCATCCACGACCTGCGCAGCAAGCTGGAGGTGCTCATGTCGCAGCTCAACGACCACCTGCTTGGCATGGGCGGCGACGCGTCTGGCGTGGGCAACTTGCTGTGCAGGACGACGCTGGCCGAGTTTGTGCTGATGGCGCGGCCGGTGGATGCGACGTCGCTGGCGCTGCTGCAGTCGTGCGGGTGCCACGACCTGGCAGTTGGGCAGCTCTTTGCGCTCTTTGAGCTGGTGTACGAGCAACTCATCTTCCAGGAGTCGCGTGGGCACACGCCGCTGGAGGACGAGGCCGATGGCGCCATTGTTCGCGACCTGGGGGAGGCGCAGCGGGCCGAGCGGTTTGTTCCTGCCGCGGTTATGCACACGCTGCGCCGGTTCTACATCACCCACTACGCGCAGTACCAGCACATGGGTGACATGCCGCTTGCCGATTTCTGGGGCAGCCTGATTGAGGAGCCCGTGTTTGTCATGGACGACCTGGAGAACCCGCAGCAACAGCTGCAGCTGCCAGACTCGCTGCTCCTGCGTCACGTCGTGCCGCTCTACGTCTGGCTGAGCGCGTTGTCATGTCATACTGGACCTTTCAAGGACAACCTCGTTACCCAAGGTGTAAAATCATCTCCTTGCTTACTTGTTTTGCGTGAGTAGCTCTGCCTAACCAACTCATGTATTCTCGTACTTCTCGCACGTTGCAGTGTGTCCGGATGCCACTGTCGCGAATGGCTTTGGGTTACACACGTCTGGTACGTACTTCTCGCCTCAGCAACTGTCTCAGGAGATCTGCCCGCTGTCACTGCGGGCGAGCGTGATCGGTCTTTGTTGTGATCGATCTGTTTTGCGTGCAAATACACCATTCATACTCATCAAAGCGTGCTTTGTGCATCCTCGCAGCACAAGGTACTGAAGGCTGCCCTCAGCACGGTGTGGAGAAACCAGAACACAGACCAAAGAGGCCTACACCAGGTAATGATAAGGGGAGTGTAAAGATTGTCTGGACGAACACAATCATCGTCGTCTCACGCTGTTCCTTTTTGAATTTCCCAGTCACTGGTGTGCAGAAGGTGGACGTAGATCCACAATTGCTTCACGAAGATTTGCAGCACTCTCGTGAGTGAATCGCTTCTGTGTGCTGTTGTCAAGGCACTACTTGCTTGAGTAGTTTCAAAAAGAAAAGTCGCCGCGTTTTGAATGCGAGATGCTTGCTTTTTCCTGTGGAATGCGTGCAAACATGAGCGTCATTAATAAGCTCATTCTTTCCACTGACGATAGAATCTGCAACCCAAAAGCCGCTCGTATTCTTCCGCCATGCAACGCAGCCTCTACACGCGTCCTGTTCCGAAAGGCGAGCGCCACGTAAGTCCACTCAGCCTTTTCAATGGACGAGATTGACGCTGGCATCATGGGCTGACACGTTTCATGGCCGTTGTTTGATTGTGCTAGGATGCGACACAAAACCGGATCGACTTGAAGAATACATGGGTAAGTCGATTGCGTGTGAACTTCAAGGCTCACCCATGTCTTGGCACTTGAGTCATCGAACTTTTCTGCATCCCCCTCTCACTCATGTTGACTTGCTTGTCGTTCTCTTTCACAAGAACATTTCTGTAACCTCAACCTGGACCCCGCTCGCTTCGCTCGAAAGAAACGTGTGAGAGATGGCACTGGCAGTCCCATCAAGGGCACATTCAGCAAACTCTATCGCAGCACGTTTGCTGGCCACGACGTTGCGCTGAAGGAAGTGGACGACGTTGAGCATCGACCACGGTTGCGACAGGTGCTGTTGATGGCGACCACAATGACACCAACAGAAGCAATGACAGAATTGCCGCTGCAAGCAGGTGACAAGCGGGTTTTGCGAGAAGTGGCCGTGCTTGCTGCACTCCGTCATCCCAACATTGTCACTTTCATTGGCCTACTTCACGACAGCCAACACAGCACGCTCTCCTTCGTGCTGAGCTGGGCGGAGAACGGGTCCCTGTACGACTACATCCACGTGCACAAGAAAGAAATCAGCGACGTCGAAAAGCTGCGCATCTTGAACGAGGTAGCTGCTGCCATGGAGTTTCTGCACGCCCACGATGTCGTGCACCGCGACCTCAAGTCGCCCAACGTGCTGCTGGACGCATCGCTCTCCGCCAAGGTGGCAGACTTTGGCCTGAGCGCGTTCAGGCGTCCTGGGCAGTCGCAACTATCAAAAGTGATTGGCACTGAGCTGTGGGCGTCCCCAGAGCAGCTATTCGGGCACACACTTCGAGCAGACACGGATGTTTTCTCGTTTGGATGCCTGGCATGGGAGTTATGGACGATGATTCGACCTTGGCACCATGTCACCGCTGATAACCCTGTAGCTCGAGTGGAGAAGCTGAAAGAATTCTACAGGAAGGCAGAGTACCTCCCACTTTGCGAAGAAGTCCAAGGGCGACGACTATCGGCAACGCTTCAGGAGTTGCTACGTGGCTGCTTTCAAATGAGTGGGAATCGTATTGACTTTTCTCAACTCCATGCCGCTCTGAAGGCACATTTCAAGGCAGCGACCGAACAGCAGGCTGAGGACGAGGATAAACAGAAACAGCTCATGGATCAGCAGCACTTGCTGTTACACGGACCACCAAATGCGGTGTGGAAGTTTCCACAGGAGCTGCTTGACGCGGTGGACGCAACGAAGCTGTCGACCCGCCAATCCGTCCGCATTGCACCACTGCAACTCGGCGATGATGCCGTCATCATTGAGGTGTGTGTGTGTGTGTATATATATATGTGTGTGTGTGTGTGTGTATATATATGTGTGTGTGTGTGTGTGTGTGTGTGTGTCTTGGTTTTTCACTGCGCACTCCACGACCTGCACCTCAGCTTGTTGCTAGAATTGTGGTCTTCTTCCGTCTCACGTTCGAATCCAACACACACACACACACACACACACTCTCTCTCTCGTGTCCACCCTGCAGCTTGTTCATGCTGCTGGTGGCCGGACCGCCAAGCAGAATCCGCGCGAACCGTTTGGCTGCACGTTGTGCCGCGTCGCCATCACGTGGTGCGACCAGAAGCTCGTCGCCTTCAAAGGCGCCCTGGACCGCAACACTACCCGCTACCGTGGTCACCTCGCGAGCACCAGCCACCCGTTTGCACCTAAGTATGGCCACGACACCACCACGGGCCAGGCGACAGATGCTGAGGATCACGCGCTATTGAAGCGCGTCACTCATGATGGCGTCTACAGAATGCTTGATCCATCCTTGCTGCAGCACAACCCACCCATTCGAATTCAGCGCGTGTTCCACGGTGTTAGGTCTTTAGACGCCGTTGTCGGCATCCTGGGTGGCGACTTTGTTCAGCTTCAGACAATGGACAGAGGATGGTACGGTGCCGGCTTCTACTTCACCCCAGATCTCGACTATGCCCTCGCCTACACCGGCAGTGGGTGTGGAGTCGAACCAGACAACAGCAATGTCCCGCCTGATCTGAGCTGCCTCAATCTTGAGCCAGGCAAATCCTATCGGATTGTGCTGGCGTGCGATGTCATGTATGGCAACCCGTATCCTGTGACACACGACAGCCTACATCCGGCATTCTCGAAGAAAGCGAAAGAGAAGCCAGAAGAATTGCCGGCAGCGCGATGGATGACGTTTGCTGGCCAACCCCTCGTTCCCGGGCACGATGCTCATGTGACCGTGGTCAACTTTACCAGCGGAGCTGTGAAAGAGGTCAAGGTGTTCAAGTCGCACACAGAGTGGGCTCAAAGTAACAACAAGACAGCTGCGGAGATTGTGGTGGCCGACCCATCGTGCGTTCTCGTCCGCGGATTGCTCGTGTTTGAGTGCTGATGTACGCTGGATGCTGCGACTAGGACTGTGTTGCTCCTTTGCTCTTTGACGCTTTCAACTCCTCTGCCAACTTTTTCATGCCGTTCTGTGCCACTTCTTGTCTGGAGGGTTGCTTTCGCTTCCACGCCCGCCGCGGTGTTTGTCTGAAGGCGTGTCTCGTGTGTTGTGTGTTTGTGATTGTACCTGATGAATGAAGCAAGCCCAAGCACTCGCAACACGTGTTGCTGTCGCATCTCGCGGCGTGTCGCCCTTACATACGGTGCATGTAACACCACCACCACCAGCAGCACCACCAGCAACAGCAGCAGCAGCAGACGCGCGCCAGCGAGGAGAAGAAGGCCGTGCCAGCCCGTCTAAACGCACACGTGTGTATGTGAAGCGGGATGACCTGTTGCGCACGCCCCTGAACGGCAACAAGGCCCGTAAGCTGGCATGGCTCACTGAAGAGGTATTCACCTTGCCATCGTCGTCACTGCCACACCTGGTGTCCTTTGGCGGCTACCGGTCCAACGTGCTGCCGGCCCTGTCAGCGCTGCACGCGCACTTCCATACCCCATGCCACTTCTGGACCAGCCAGCCCCCACCACACCTTGAACACGATGGTGCGATTCGTGTGGCTGTGTGTGTGTGTGTTTGCGTGTGTGTGTGTGTGTGTGTGTGTGTGTGTGTGTTTGCGCGTGTTTGCGTGTGTGTGCGTTTGTGTGCATCTGTGTGTGTGTGTGCATCTGTGTGTGCATGTGTGCATCCGTGTGTGTGTGTGTGTGTGTGTGTGTGTGTGTGTGTGTGTGTGTGTGTGTGTGTGTGTGTGTGTGTGTGTGTGTGTGTGTGTGCTCTGTGCATGCGTGTGCGTCATCTTGATCTCAACCCTTCCAACCATCCTCTTCCACCATGCCCACACACGCACGCGCACTCACGGTCCCTCCTTCCTTCCTTCCTTCCCCTTCTTGCCAGTCTGCACACCTGGCGTGCAGTTCCACCACCCTTCAAAGCGGTGCACTTGGGATGAACTGGAGCAGCTTGCCAAGAGCCATGCAGCCTCGATGCCGGACAACGCTGTCTTTGTCGCCGGTGGTGGCCACGATACGCGTGCGGAGCTTGGCTGTCGTCAACTTGCCCAAGAGCTCGCGCACCAACTGTCCAACCTCCCAGTCAAGTGAGTCAAGGTGTGTTTGTGTGTTGTGTGTTGCGTGTGTGTGTGCGTGTCTGTCTGTGTGTGTGTGTGTGTGTGTTGTGTGTGTGTGTGTCTGCATGTGTGTCTGTGTGTCTGCATCTCTGTCTGTGTGTGTCTGCATCTCTGTGTGTGTCTGTGTGCGTGTGTGTGTCAGCTTGTGTCTGTCTATCTGTCGACATGCAGTACACTTGCCCCATGCACCCTCTCGCTCATTGCCATGACGCCTTTTGATTGACACCTGCTGCCACACTTCCTCCTCAACACACCCTTGCAT